CCACCATGGGACTCCTGGGCATGTTGTCTCAGGGAAGAGTCCCTGGAGCAGGGCTCTCCATGCTGGGGGTGGGGGGAGGGAAACTGGGCAGTAGTCTGCCCCTCTACTACTGCTCAGGAGGGCAATGGACTTTTGCACCACTCATGCCATTCAGGGTGCAAAAGGTGGATCCCAAGTGGTCATTGCCCCTGTGTATAAACTCCTTATTCTGGCTCTGTGACACTCCCTGTTCTGCAGTGGTAAAGGAGGTTTCACTCAGACAGAAGCTGGCCACCTGTAGTCCTCATTCTTGGACCTTTGCAGCATGTTCCTGAGCCCGGACAGCTCATTTTAAGTGCTGTGGCAGTGCAGGTGCAAGCAGTTGCCAACCTGTCCGTTTTGACCTCCCACATTGAGGGTCTCATTTGGTGTTCATTTCACTGGCGCCATCTACAAACATGTCTTCAGGCCTGGTGGGATGAGCCTTCTCTGGTTCTCTGGGAAGAGAGGAAAGGAGTTGGGGGGAGGGTTTTCTGGGCGGAATTTTTCCCATTCCTGTTGCACCTTACCTGCAGCAGTGCTCATAAGTAGGTGCTCTGTCAAATGGTCCCTGGAGGTGCACCAGAGAACATGCGTGGTTGTGATTGTTGGTTACACTTTGGCTGTGGGGCTCAAAAAAGCTTTCAGTACCTTTTGGGGTGTGTTTGGATGCCATTTTGCATTAGGTGGATCTGCATCAACATGCTGGATCTCAGGAAAACAATGTGACCTTGAGGGATGGGGCGGCCAGTTGTCAATTAACCAGATTTATGGTCCCACTCAAAGTAACGTGTTCTGATAACTCCCCAACAACAGTAGAGGGTAATGACCCTGGTGCTTCAGCTTTACTCTAGGTCAGTGTTGCAGGGGTTTATGCGGGGGAGGGAGTGTTTGAAAGGCCATGAGATCAGGGGGGAGCATCAATAAATCAGTATTATCAGTCTTCCATCTGGACAGTCATTGAGCCAAGAGCACACTGAATATCAGAGCAGCCAAACACATCCTTCCGCATGACCATACCTCAACCTACCAAGGGGTCATATTAGACCATTCCTTTACCTATAAACATCACATTAAGAAGGTCAGCAGTAAAGTCTCTGCATGGGTAGCTGCTATAAGATGTTTAGCTAGCATGACATGGGATGCCAACTTCAAAGTGCTCAGAACCACTGCACTTGTAGTGGTAAACGCCCCAGCAGATTACCATGTTCCTGTATAGTCCTGTTGCATACTAAGAAGTTCAGTACTGTACTTAACAGAGCACAGAGACTCATAACAGACTGCACAACTTGCACACACACAGATGTATTTCTGTAATCTAAGGCATTCAACCAAGTGATATAAGAAGACCCTAGCTGCTCTCCTGCTGCCACATTTCTGGGACCGTAGAGAGCCTGACAGGCTGCAGCCTTGTGTGTTGTGATAAATTTAGATAAGGGGTGGAGTGAATGGAAATAAAATGATCATTCAGAGTAATCTTGTCTGATATCTATTCCTACAGCATTTTATACTGACACCAAATGAGTTCAAACCCCCCCCCCCCCCCCCCC